GCTTTTGGCCCTGCTTCATACGAGCTCTCCAGGTGCTGTATGCCTCTGCAGAGTGTTTGGTCAAGCTCAAATGGACCCTGACAAAGCCCATCCCATTCAGGAAAGGAGTGTGTCAAGGCTGTCTACTGTCAGGCCAGCTATATGCCTTGGCCCTGGAACCCTTCCTTGTCCTCCTGTGGAGGCGGGTGGTGGGGCTGATGGTCCTGTCAGCATGGGCTGATGACGTACTCCTCACGGTCCAGGACTCGGGTGACCTGGCACAGGTAGAGGCCTGCCAGGCATTCTACTTAGCAGCCTCCTCTGCCTAGGTCAGCTGGGTCAAGAGCTTTGGCCTGATGGTGGGTGATGGGTGGCAGGTGGTTTCACTCCCACCCATGCTTCACAGGATCCACTGGAGTGCAGGTTCACTGGTCTACATGGGGGTCTACCTGTCCCCCACAGGCCTCTCCCTGCCGGAGAACTAGTAGCAGCTGGAGGCAAGGGTGGTGGAACGACTCTGGGCATGGGCAGGGTTCCTGAGGTGTCTGTCCCTGTGTGGGAGAGTGCTCGTGATGAACCAGCTGGTCCTGTCCATGCTCCAGCCCCACTTACACATCCTAGCTGTGCCCCCTGGAGGTACTGGAGCTTTTCTGGCCAGGATGGCACTGGGTCACTGCAAAGGTCCTGAGCCTCCCCTTGTGGGAGGGCAGCCGGGGCCTGGTTTGCCCACACAGCCAGGTCCTGATGTTCCGCCTTCAAGCCCGGCAATGACTGCTATATGGTGTTGGTGGCCACATGGCATGGGGCCACGTGGGGCGTGTCTTCCTCCACCATTTCCAGGGGCTCTGATAAGACTGGCAGCTCTTCAGCCTGTGAAGTTTCTCCTTACGGGAGCTACTAGGGCTCTCAGAGTTCTACCAGGACTTGCACCAGGCCTGGAGGCTGGTCTCTGCCTCCAGGTCCCCTGCAACACTCGCCCAGGGCACTGACCCACTCGTTGAGCCCCTCCTCTGGAACCCCCAGCTGGAGGTACTGACAGCAGAGGCACCCCAGTTGTGACGGAGGTTGTTCGTGGCTGATGTCACCCATATTGGAGACCTCATGGACTATGATAGGCAGGAATGGGCAGACCCTGCTGCGCTGGTCCAGTGCATGGGTCTACCTATGACACATGTGACCTGCCATCTGATCCAGGAAGTAAAATCTGTCCTACCTCCCAACGTCCTTGCCTTTGTTGACCTGGTCCTGTGGGGTGGTGGTCCCCAGCCCACCATGTCCTCCAGCCCACTGCAGTTTGTCATGGGTCCAGTGCCTCACCCAACCTTGTGGCACTCCCTGATCCACCACCTGAGCCAGCTGGAGGATACCATACCCACCCACTTTTCCACCGTCTATCACCACAATCTCTACATGCTTGTGTGTTGCATGACCAATCATGCTGCCCTTGCCTCCTGCCCAGACACTAAGTGGTGGGACCTGCTCAGCAAGGGTGTAGTGGGGCACCTTAGTGGCTCAGTCTGTACTCCACCCTCATCACATGAGTCACTGGGCACCTTGGCTGGCAGCTCCTCCATGAAGCCATTGCCACAGGCATGTATGTGGTGAGCTTCCCAGATACCCTGGTTGCCTGCCCATTCTGCGGGCAGAGGGAGACTCTGGCGCACATAACCCTCGAGTGCGCCAGGCTGCAGCCCCTTCACCTCCAGAACTTCCTCCTGAAGTTCTGGTTCAATTTCACCCCCCACCTTTTTGTTTTTGGTCACCTCATCCATGGCCCCACCGAGTCCTGGGACTTCCTAGTCAACCTCCTCCTGGCCCTGGCCAAGTGGACCCTGCACTTGACCAGGAAGGAGGCTCTGGCTGGGAAGGTGCCCCAAGACTGTGGGACCATTTTCTTCTCACTTTTCTGTGCATGTTTCTGGGCAGAGCACCAGTAGGCAGTGTCCACTGGCTCCTTGGATGTCTTTGAGGACTGGTGGGTACAGCTTGGGGGGGCTCTGCTCCGTGTTCCCCTCAGATGCACTCATTTTCTTATTTTGACTTTTTGCTCCTCATTTCACTCCTGTGCTGTTTTTTGACTTTTTTGTTCCAAGTATTTTGTTGTAGAATTCACACAGCCCCCATACAATAGGGGCTACTAGTTAGCCAGGTGGGCCTTAGGGCTCACAGTATTTGAATATTACAAATAGACATGTTCTTTGGAGGCCCGGCCAGTTGGTATCTGGGGACATCAGCCCTTTGTACCAGCTGCAACAGCCTTAACCTAGAGTGGCCCCTGCACCCTCTACCCACTGCAGTAGTCTGGCAGTAGGGGCTGCTGCTTGGTTGTGACTTGCTGTTACCTGCGACAGCATGCATCCTCTTGTACCAGCGGCCCCATGCCTGTGATCCTGCCAGACCGAGACAGGGACCACCTGGCCATCTGGGCTGTGGTATGGGTGCTGCAGTAGACCCACCTGCACCTCTAAGCCAGCTACCAATAGGGTGTGGCTGCACAGTTGACCTCTGTGCTGCACTGCTGTCATGTCTTCTGGTGCCCACACTCTGTCATCTGGACAGCTGTCACTTTGAAGATGTGCTCATTGCGGTGGCCTGCTTTGAATTGTCGAAGCATGTCCTCCTGGCCCCAGATTTCCAGGAGGTCAGCCACCTCATCTGGGAAGGTCCCCAGTGTTGGCCCTGGGCAGGCTCCTCTGCCTCAGTTCCACCACTTGCCTCACCAGCAGGGATACTGGTGTTCCCTGCTTAAAATTGTGAATTCTCTGATAAAAACCCAAATTCTCTTATTAAAATACCCAAAATCTGTGTTCTTCCATGATTAAAATGAAATGCCCCTATATGTAGGAGGTCAGTTGGGCAATGCTTTATTGATATGTTTACAATTTTAAAGCAATTTGGAAGCCTCCTAGTGCCTCTGTCATAATAATAAAATGAATTCTAAATATCTATACATTTTGGTGTTTGCTTTTGGTTTTTTATCATAGAAAAATCAGAGCTGTCCCTGCCCCTTTTGCTCACCAGGATCTGGGGTGCTGAGCAGAACTGGGATACTAATGCTCTGTCCCTGCCCATGCCCTTGCCCCTAACTTGCAACCCACAGCCCCTTCAGTGCCCCCCACTCATGACTCTCAGTCCCTGCCTGCCTCCACTCCCTCCCTCCTGGTAGCAGCTCTCAGCCCAAACAAGGATATGGGTCCACCTGCAGCTGTTCCACCCACTGCTTTGTGGCAGTGAGTAGTGCCAACCCTTGCTGTTCTGCTCCCTGTGCCTGCACCCAGGCCCCAGTGATCCTCATGCTGTTCCTGGGAAGCCCTTGGCTGGGACTCAGGACTGTGCTGGACAAGCCCCTTCCCTTCCAGGCTGGCCTCCCCCTGCACAAGCTGCTCTAGCGGGTCAGGGGGGCTCCATGCCTGGCTCTGGTGGCCTCTCCTACTGGAGTGCTCCCACATCCCCCACCCCCATCTCTCTCTCACTCGCACCTCTGCTGCCACCCCTGGCCCATCACATACACACATACGCACAGCCTGATAGCTCATGACTCCTGCCTTTAGTGCTGGGAACCCCAGGTGGCATCAGGAACTGATCCTGTCCTGTCCTAAGGTGCACGCCAGTGGGCCGGGCCAGCTCCATATGCCACCTGGAGCCCCTGGGTCTCAGGCAGAGCCAGGGGCTGCCGGGGTTCCCTGCTAGCAGGGGGCTTTGAGTGTCTTAAGGGTCCACTGCTGGCTGTTGTGGGCTGGGGACCCATCCCTCCTACACAGTCTCCCCCCCACCCTCTCACAATCCCCGCCACTCCCACACAATTCCCCCACAAACACACTTCCCTGCTTACCAGGGACAGAGCCTGGGTCCAAGCTACCAGCCTTGCCCTCCTTCTATATCCTCCAGCACACTGAGGCAGCATGCTGAAGCAGCAGGGGCATGAGGAAGTCATAGAGATGCTCTGGCCAGGTGCTAGAGCATCTGTTTGGAGGACTCAGACTCCACTTGCTTTGGGGCATGCTCCAGGAGGGTACCCTGTGCTGCTTTTTCCCCGCATGTTTTCTTTTGATACCAGGATTTCCCAATATCAGACTTGGAGTCCCTGCTGCATGTTTGCAGCACAGGGAACATTTTTCCATTCATGGTGTGCCTCTTGCAGCATCTCAAACAGCTTTGAGATGCCACAACAGGCATGTGCTTGCTTGTCTGGACTCAGCCAAAAAGTCCCTGGTCGCCACAGAATGTTGTCCTCCTGCTGCCCCCCAACTCATGCTACTGGCAGGTGGCCCAGCCACCACCACCTCTGCTACTGGTGTTCCTCATGCATTGCTGCCACTCAGGGCACAAAAGTGCCCAGCTATGCATCTGCTATTTGTCTCACTATGTTGTCATGTATAGTATTTTTAAATTCCTTATTTGATTATTTGTGAAATGTGTGGAGGTTATTCACTGGCATGTGAAAAAAGCCATTGTTATTTTGAAAAAGGATAAATTGTACTATGAGCAAGAATGAAATTATGAAAAATAGCTGGCAGAGTTGTGAGTCATTCTTGGCATTCTTTGCTTTTGGCTACCAGTCAATTTTTAAATCGTGTTTTGGTTTATTTTTCAATAAGGGTGTTGGTGCGCAGGCTTGCTTTGTACATTTCATATAAGATAGCGAAAAGGCATTACAATTTCCACTTTCCCTTTTAAAAACGATAGAGGTTGTCATAGAATTCTAGAGCCATATATTCTCTGTAGACAAAATAAAATGTTTCTTATTCAGCCTTCTTTAGTTTTAAAGTAATAACATGTTCTATACTCAAGAATTAAAATATTCTAATAATCTGTGAGTTAATATTTTCATAAAAGGGTTTATCAGACAGCTTATTGTGAGATTTTGTGAATATAGATAATTTTTATTGAAAAAGTGTTAAACATGAGTTTTGTTAGATGAAACATATTTCTTTCATATAATAGAAGAATATTCTTCCCACAATTGAGAGAATAGAGAATGTTTTTTTTTTAATTAACTAAGTATTGTACTTTTTTTTCAGACTAAATTTTTTCCGAGATGTTCCTGACTTCAGAGTACTGGCATGTGGTGGAGATGGAACAGTTGGTTGGATTTTGGATTGCATAGGTAATACAGAGGGTTTTTTAAATTATTTATTTTGACCTATTAAATTCTGGGGGTGTGACAGTGTTGTGGCTTATTTTTCAATATATTCATTCAACAGTTTTAAATATAATTTCACATATTTAAAAGACTGATGGTCAGATGGTTTACAGTGAAATCCATTACCTTTTAAGAGATATGGTAAATGATTATCATTAACAATATCTAGAGTGCTTAGTTCCCTATTTCCAGTCTACTATTGCTAGTTCCCTAGGCTACCTAAACACTTAGGATCATTGAACTAATGCGTGTCATTTTTGCTTTAAATGCATCTTACAAAGATTAATCAAATATTTTTCACATCTTGGTTAGTTTCAGGAATTTCCATTTATTCACCCCCTTCTTTCAGTTACCAGATTTTTGCTTTCTTCCTGTAGTCCCAGGGTATGTTTGAAACTTCTGGATTTAGTCATGGTCTATGGCAGGGGGTGTCAAACTCACCTGGGGCCTTGAGCCAGATCCATGGTTACCTTTTGTGGCTACAGTGGCAGAAGCAGGGGTCCAGCGATGGTGAGGGTGGCAGTGCAAGGGGTCTGATGCCAGAGATGGGCCTGATGGTGGAGCTGAGGGGTCTGGAGCTGGTGAGGGGTCTGAAAGTGTCGGGGTCCAGTAGTAGCAGTGGGTTGCAGGGGCAGTGGTGCTGAGCCAAGCTCGTTGCTTCTGGCCATGGCCAGCATAGCCAAAAGACCTCCAATTCCAGGGCAGGACATGTCCCTGAACATATAGCCTGCTGGTAAACCTTGATAGAGTAGCTCTATGGGCCATAAATACAGTGGCTTGGAATATTTAGTCTGTGAAAAAACAAAAGTCTCTTAAGTTTAAACTGTAAAGTTTCAAAGGACTTTGTCACGTATAAAGTGGTAAGATAAAGACACCTGATTTGCTCAAACTTTACTTCAAAAGGGAAGAATGTATGGGTATTGGGTCCAGAGACTGCTTGGCTTTGGGTCCTCATATGCAGAATATATTCCATATGGAAATACAGTTAAACTTAAACCTGACCAGTTTAGCAGAAATCTACAAGACTTGATTTTCTGCTCAGGCCTTTTAAGTTCATTATATTCTGCTTTCCTAGCTGACTCATAAAACTTAAAGCATGTTTACCAAGATCTTCAATCTCTCTTGTTAAGCCTGATACTACAGTCAGAGCGGCCAACATACTGTAATAATGGTGGTAGTAATGGTAGTAGCCAATGACAACAGCGATGTAATTACACAGTAAATGCCAGTTCTTGGGGGTTTGCACTGTGACCGATGGAATACCTGTCTCTAAAGCCAGCTTCCTTCACAAAGTATATTTCATTATCTTTTGTTGAAACAAAACCAAACCTTTATTTATAACCTTACCATTTTATCTGCACAACTTCATTTTGGTTGATCAATGTCTTGTCCGTTTAATTATTATTTTTTTTAATTTATTTACAGAGAAAGCAAATTTGCCTAAGCATCCTCCAGTTGCTATTCTGCCTCTTGGGACTGGCAATGATTTAGCAAGGTGTCTGAGATGGGGAGGAGGTAAACACAAGTTAAAATATCTTCTATTATGTTGTTTATAAAGAAACAGAAGTTTGCTGAAAAAATATATTAATTTCTCTTTTATGATCTGTAAAGAACATTAACAAGTTTCCTCCCTTTTATTGGAATTAGTAGTGAGAGTAAACTGGACTGAAGTTAGATTTTGTTTTGTCTACAAATGGCATACCTAAATGTCTTAAAGGAGGATCTATAAAGGTCCTCTTTTGACATGTTGCGTGTAACTCCTGTTTACATGAATGAGAGCTTTATGGATTCAAAGAGTGTAAAATATGACCATGGAAGTTTAAAATAGTCTGCATTTTTACAATCTTTAAAGCAGGTATTCACATGCTTAGGACATGATGCAGAAGTATACTTAAATATATTTTAACTGGCTTTCCTGAAAGAGTTACTACATATGACTAGTTATTTTCATTCATTTATTTTTTAACAGTCAGAAACATTGAAGAAAAATGCCAGTCTGAGACCACAGTAAACTAATGGCTTTGATGTGAATGTTTTTATTGTTCATTGCTTCTTTGATCCTGCAGAATATTCCAGACAATCATCATGGTACCATCTACCAGGAAGGAAGGAGGCAAAGAATAGTGAGGCAAAAAAGATGTATAAAGCCAAGTTTTTCGTGCCCTTTGCCTCTTTTCCTGGAAGCTTGGAGCCTAGCTTTCATCACTTTCTATAACTTCTTTCCATCCAATACCTTCATTACAGGGTACAAAGGGAAGACCAAAGACAACTTGCCGAAGAAGGACATAAACGAGAAGGACTCAGCTAATACTGACTACTTGCATGGTGAATGTATGCTAGTTTTGTAGATGCACGACATCAGATAAATATTGGAGAATGCATTTCTAAGGATACCTCCCTGCAAGTTCTCACTCTTAATGGGACTAATAACTGTGCCTGTCAGATTCTTTGCTCCCTTTAGATCTACACGTATGATCCAAACCTGCCTTTCTGTGGTTTTAGTTTGGATCCAGTGCCTGTTCGGTTTTGGCTCTGTCATTTCTGCATGAATGTTGCCCTGCTCCCACTTTCCCTTCAACTTCTGCTGGTCCCTCCTGTTTCCCTGTTTCTTCCTTCTCGCATCAAAATTTACATAATTTATGGACATGCTTTTTTCTTCATCAGTATCCATTCATCCAAAATTCCTGGGAGCATGTCTTTCTAGTGTTGCTTCAGAGATGGCAAAAAACTCCAGCAGTAGAGTGGTTTCTACTGCAATTTAGTAGATATAACTGATATATCTGATATGGCAGTGTTTGTCCCATGCAGTTGTTTCTTTACTTTTGCAAGATAGTCACAGGTCCAGGGACAGCTTGACCCTTTCTTGGGTTTTCTCCCTCTCCAGTGTGTAGAATCCTATTCATATTGTCCATTGGTGGAAATCTCAGAGAACCATGACCTCCTGCCAGGGACAAGAAAAGAACAAGTATATAAATTATGGGACTATGATTTTCTTAGGCATCGAGACTCTTAAACTTTAGATTCCAGCTGGAAGATGCGATAAAATGCTGCTCTTCACAGCATGCATATTACTAGCTCCTACCTCCCTTCCATTATAAATGCCTTCTTTCTATTATAAGACATACAGAAAACTAGAACTCTTGGTTCTTTATATTATAATCCATTCCCTATATAATAACTGTGAGTATAGCTTCTAGGTATGGCCTTTCTTCTTTTCCCTTTTCTAAAAGCTAACTGGATTAATGAAAAGTCAGATTTTGAGAGACACTGACTATTTAGTGCTTCCAGTGATCTGGATGCAGCCCAATGCATCAACTTGGAGGGATGTGGGCAGTGGGGTCCCCCAGGGCTTGGTCCTTGGGCCTGCACTGTTCAACATCTTCATCAGTGACTTGGATGAGGGGGTGAAAAGCACTTTGTTCAAATTCGCAGATGACACTAAGATGTGGGGAGAAGTGGGCATGCTAGAAGGGAGGGACAGGCTGCAATTGTATCTGAACAGGTTACAGGCGTGGACAGTTGAGAATAAGATAGGATTCAATACTGACAAGTGCAGGGTACTGCACCTGGGGAGGAAGAACCAGCAGCATACCTACAGGCTGGGGAACTCCTCTCTTATCAGTACAGAGGCAGAAAAGGATCTTGGAGTCATTACAGACTCCAAGATGGACATGGGCTGCCAATGTGGGGACGCAGTCAAGAAGGCTAACCGCACCTTGTCATGCATCCACAGATGCATCACGAGCAGGTCCAAGGAAGTGATGCTCCCCCTCTATATGACATTGGTCAGGCCGCAGTTGGAGTACTGCGTCCAGTTCTGGGCACCGCACTTCAAGAGGGATGTGGAAAACATGGAGAGAGTACAGAAGGGGGCCACTCACATGATCGGGGACAGCAGGGCAGGCCCTATAAGGAAAGGATATGAAACCTGAACCTGTTCAGCCTGCTCAGAGGAGGCTGAGAGGGGATCTGGTGGCTGTCTATAAACTGGCCAGGGGAGACCAGCAGGCAATGGGAGAGTCCCTGTTCCTCCGAGCACTACTCGGGGTAACAAGGAATAATGGTCACAAGTTGACAGAGAGTAGATTCAGGCTAGATATCAGGAGGTGCTACTTCACAGTCAGGGCAGCTAGGATCTGGAACCAACTTCCAAGGGAAGTGGTGCTCGCTTCTACCCTGGGGGTCTTCAAAAGGAGGCTAGATAGACACCTTGCTGGAGTCATTTGACCACAGCATCCTTTCCCACCCATGGCAGGGGGTTGGACTTAATGATCTGCTCAGGTCCCTTCCAACCCTACCAACAACAACAACAATAATTATCTTAGAGAGCAAGATGGTTTGGTTTTGGCAAGGTTAGCTGCTTGAAACTCCACGGGGACTTTGGTTTGGTTCACTCTCCCTTTGTTCTTACAGACTGAATACTGACTCCTTGGATTAAGTCTTGACATTCCTGTTTCCTCTTACCAGGAATGTAGGAGCACCTATAAATGTGCATCCAGGCTGTTCCAATGTGTTGTAATTCCAGTGTGTCGGAGCAGACTCAATTAATCCTGGCTGCTGGAGTGTGGTAATTACCACGTCATGCGTTTCAGCAGTCCCATGCTGAAAAATGGCAGTGGGGCACTTTAACTAAAGCTCGTTTGACAAGTTTTAGTAAAAGCGCCTCCACTGCCACTTTTCAGCATGGGAACACTGATGCACGTGATGTGCCAGGCGGAGTTGCTCTAATTAAAGTGCCCTCCCTGCCCTGCCTCCCAGAGCATGTGTATAAACACCCTAGGACACTTGTTTGCCCCACCCTTCAATTGTTGGTTAATAGGTGTTGGTGGTGGTTGGCTCAATAAGAATTTCTGTTTTCTGATATTTGGGAAGGGCTATTTTTCCTTCTTGTGTTGTGACTGATTTTTCCCTTTATTTTTCTGTTCTTAGGCAGGCTAATTCATTGGTTCAGCTGAAACAACATCTCTTTTTCCTCATTTGCTGGATGAGGTTCATTTTCCTTTCTCTGCTGTATAGTGGCAGATTCTTCCTCCAAATATTTTGGCCCCTTTCTCTTATGTGCTCTCTTTCCTTACCCAAAGGTCCTTTTACAAATTCTTAATAGCACGTCTGCAACAGTGTCATTTTGTGACTCGCTGGGTCTATTAATCTCAAGACAATTCAGGCCTTTTTAACTTATTTTTGGTGCCCTTTCATTGCCTGTTTGCTGCCTGCTGCTTCTGTATTAGAAAAAGAAATCTGATCAGTCATGCTTACCTTCTAACCAATTTCTTGCTTAGAGAGTCCCTCTTCATGGAAGACATTTATGAATCATTTGTTTTGGTAAATGAAAGGAGGTTAGAATAACTATGACAGTCTCTAAAAATGTTGGTGAGACTTTCATTCAGGAACTGACTGTAATGCACAAGCATCCATATTTTTACCAAATTGGCAGATGTCGAGAAAGCCACAGAAGCCTCATAGAGACTCTTAAAACAACAAGCAGAACACAGTTTTTTGGTATCAAAGAATTCCAAAACGATTGTTTAGTAGCTGCAATATTTCACAAGGAATTTTATTAGACTGTAAAGAACTTGCAAGATTTTTGCTACAGACTTAGAGCCAATACCCTCTGGTGAATTAGATATGTGCTGTCTCAGTAACGAAATCCCACTTTTCAAACACCTTGTCCTTAAACTTCTTTGTTGGTACACTATATTCTCTATCCTCAAAATGAACATTTTTATACTTAGATATATCTATTGCAGTGCTTTTCTTTTCTTTTGTAGTAAGTCTCTGTAATACTGTCCCCATATAGACAGTACACTTTCAAGGATCTCGAGATCTGTATACTGTCTCTTAGAATCATTGCTCTTAATATTTTTCTGTATAGCTCTCCTCTCTGATTCTTATAGATCTCCAGCTCTAAGCTGTTTTTTTAGGAACAGCATAGCGTATTAGAGTGAGATAAGAGAAAATCATTTTTATCTGTGATGAATGCTCTGTGCTAGAGTTCTGGAAAATGGTAGGCCACAGTTGCATTCTAGCTAGGTTTCTATTTCTACTTATGTCTCAGGCAATATTCCCAGTATTAATGAGTATCCATGTATCATGAAACCAATTTGGGATAGATAATTTGCTATGTTGTTGATGGTGAACCTGGGGCACTGGGATACTCTACAATTTATGTAGGATCTCACAGGAGGTTATGTTGCAGTGTCCTTGTGCACAGTCCTGGATCTTGTATAGAAAATCAAGTGTACGCATCTCTCTAGATTTTTTAAGGCCAAACATCCTTTGGCAGATAAATTCTGAGTGTTGTCCCATAGCTCAACTCTCAGACCTGTTTTTGTTTGTTTGTTTGTTTTTTACTTTTCTTAACTTTCAGTTTGAGAGGAAAGAAGAGAGTAGATACTCTAGTTCAGAGTTCTGCACACCAATCCCATACACCAGGGTTTGCATTAGGAGACATCCTTTCTTTTTCTGCTGTTTTTAAAGAAGTCTTTGAGTAAATTCATCTGCCTCCAGTTCCCAAGGAAAGATCTCAAGATTCTGGGTTTAAGATATATTTCTGGCTTGCTTTCTCTGTTTTGGGAAAAGGGTTTACCTATCTCTTTCCTAATGTCTTTCTAATCCCCAGAATTTAACTCAGAGTAGACAAGATGCTGAACCTTGCTATTCCTATCTGACTGAGATTGTCCTCCAGCTTCCCAGACCTTGAGGTTGCACCATGTTTGGACCCTTTCCAGGTGTCCTCATTTCCTCTGCCACAATTCTACAATTTTATCTTCATGTTTCTATACTTTATGGCCTAGAAGAACTGAAAAAAAATTAATGGCAATTAACCATTAATTTAATCATTAATAATTAATTTAATACTGATTGGCATAGTACCTGCAAGTCTGTGATCAAGAAGCAGTCATAGGTCTATGAGCTTTCTACCTGAGTTTTCCAGAGCCTGAAACTATCCAAACTACTCAGATTATAAATACCATGGGACTTCAGGTTTTTCATACAGATGCCTTCAATTTTTTTAGATCCCTATTTTATGGTAACCAGTTTTCAGGTGTTTACTGCTCAATGACAGGAGGTGCACTACAGAATTTGTAGGACATACATGAAAATCTCTCCTGAATCTGTCGACTTTGCAAATACCTTCTTCATCCATTGATTAAGTATTTTATTGTCCAAATATCAATTCTCAGTTCTCACAAAACCTAAATTGGACTTGGACTTCCATGAATAATCCCATGTCTCTGCTAACCCTCTATTCAGGTATTTCCTATTCCTCTTTGAGAAGAGGTTTTTTGTTTTGTTCTGGGTTTTTTTACATCTAGAAAATGGGAATACATTGTACTTGCCTATTTCCCCTCATAAAATGCAGTCTATTTGTCCATTCTTGAAAACTGAACTGAGACAGGTGTTTGGCTTCTATGCTGCTGTCAGTTGTTGGCTAAAATCAAGTGTTAATATGACTTGCGAACAGATAGGCAAGATTCCATTTTTTGCCAGTAAAAGCCAAAAATACTCTAAATATATTTTATCCTTCTGGACAAAGTAAGCAGAGGTAATTTCAGTGGAGATATGCAAGGCCATTGTATTCTTGCTTCAGACATTAATCACACAGTATCTTATACCCTATCACTATTGTCTGAATTCTTTCCACTACTTGTTCATAAGCAGCTGTAAGGATTCACATCTTCTTGCTATATCTACTGATTGTCTGGAATCTCCTGCAAGATGGAAGAAGTTGGGAACAAATAACAATGGAAAATTACTCACTTGTAATTTAAATTTGTCAGGGTTCCTCCTCTTCTCCCATCCGGCAACCTTCTCTGCTGCTCTTTTGTTTTGAGTTATCCCATCTGGACTGAGAGATACCAGTGTGAAAAGTAACTGATGAGATGGTGGGGAGAATCACTGCTCAAATATTCTCTGTCTTTCATTATTCTTTGCCTCCTTGCTTCCTGGTAGACAGTGCCATAACACTGATTTTCTGGAACTTTCCATAGGATGGGAGAACAGAAGGGGCTTCGTCAAACCGAATTACTGGTGAGTGATTTTCCCAATCTCAAGGATGCAGACACCTGGCATGGACTCTAAATAGTGAAAAAACAGTGACTCTGATACTCAGCTATCATGCACATTCAGGGAATCATAGCTATGAAGGTTGGTAATAGCTAGGTAGTAAAAATATCACAGACTGCTACATGCTAGTGTGTGTGTGTGAGTGTGAATGTGTGTGTGTGTGTGTGTGTGTGTGTGTGTGTGTATAGAGAGAGAGAGAGAGACTGACTCTGTGTACTGTCCTGGAGGGCTCTGGATGATTTTGAAGTGTTGAATTTTGCACCAACAAATAGATTTGAAAAGAATTTCTGATGCTGCTCCTAGGTTTCCCCAACTATAATTTTAATTAATGATAGGCTGGGTGCATTTACATGTGCCATTAAGGTGATATGATAAACTCCAATGCAGTTTCCATGTGCGCCCAGGACTACAGCAGTTTGAGCTGGGGCTCCAGGTGGCGTCGTCAAGTGGCAAAGGGGCTGGCTGGAGCACGAGGGTGCTAAAGTGTGGGGCTAGGAGGTGGGCAGTCCTGGCTCTTTAACACCTTTCTGCTCCAACCAGCCCCTGTCACTGTCTAAATGTATATTTCAGCACACATAATAACTCCTCTGTAGGATAGTATTATCTACTGTGCCCTAATACCAGCACACATGTAGGCAGTGATGTTTTACTATGGAGTTAATTGGTTAACTCCATGATAAAGCACATGTGTAAATGCACCCACTGATGGCCGTTGACATATGCTTTTATTGATGACTCAGCAAGTACCTAGGTTTGTGTTATACATAATTACTTCTGCTTTCAACACTGGATATATCCACAGATCCAGGTTTGCTGCTCCACGGTCATTTTGCGTCAACAGCACGTGAAGTGCTGGCCAGTATAATCCCTTTTTTGTTTTGCAGGGGTTCAACAAGTGGTAAGCCAGGCCTTTTCTACTAGCATATAGTGTAATTAGTATGCTAGTGAAGGGCATATTTATTCACAAGAAGGGCCAGGCAAGTAGGAGTAAATTTCTATATTCTACCACAGGATTATCAAAATATGGAAGAACAGTTACTCTGCTTATCATTCTCCTTAACGGTTAGCAATGGCTCTGGACATTTAGTGTGTTATCATAGAATTCACTAGAAACATTGTCTGAAAGGTCACAAACCACAAACAGAAGTTTTACCAATAACGTTTAGGTTTTCAGTGAATCATTATGCTTTTGTAGGACAATACTAACACTCCATTGCTCTCTGTACGGATATTTTGCACTTAAAGTAATTTAATTATCATGACAAAACATAGTATGAAATACAGCCTGGTGCTATCAGGTAGCTCTTGTAACACTTGGAAAGTTTAAAGGAATTTCAAGTTAGGAAATGCAAGATCAGATTCTGCTCTCAGATTCAATGTCCTCTGAAAAATTCAGTGTTACGCTAGTTTTCCAGTGCTGGGGAGGGAGAGATGAACAACAGAATTGGTCACATTTATTCAAAATTGTCATTTTCACCTCTTGCTAGGATATGAGGGTGAGAATCTGATGAAGATCTTAAAAGACATTGAGAACAGCACAGAGATTTTGTTGGATAGATGGAAATTTGAAGTAATACCCAATGACAAAGATGAGAAAGGAGATCCAGTGCCTTACAACATCATCAATAATTACTTTTCTATTGGAGTGGTAAGATTTATATTTATGTGATATTTTTTCTTGCCTGCATAATGTCTGCATTGCATGTCTAAGAGTGAAGAATGAGTGGCTACAGATAATTTATTATGTCATTTTACCAGTAAAATGAATACATAGATGACTGACAACAATTTACATGAATTTACTTATACATTCAAACTAGAATTATTTTTCAGAATCTTCCACCCACTCACGTATAGTGGAGATAATCTTGTTGTTCCTACTAGTTTATGAGCAACTATAGCACTAAATTCAGCATGTTACTATAATGACCCTATAAAAATATAAAAAAAATTAAGCATTTATTATCCCTTTTTAGTTACCTTGTCTGTTAATGTTCATACATACAAAATCTTGCTAAAGAAGTGGCATTTTCTTTTTCTTTAGAGCTTTTTTTTCTTTAGAGATGCTTTTCCTCACTTCTCTTTCCTTTATCCTTAAGTTCTCCTAGAAATCAAGAGAATAGTCCTCAAATAAAAAGAGTCATCAAAGTATCTTCTTGGTTCAAAGCCATCATTTAATGTTCATAGGGATCTTCCACTTTGCAAACTATTTTGCAGTCCTCTTTGTTGCTTGTATTTTGGGATGCTTCTATTCATGTGGGAATCAAAGGTAGTTTTGCCTCTGACTTCACTGAAAGTTGGGTCAGTCCTTCATTTTCTTGCAAAGTATGGTTGGATTTAAAAGAGGCATCAATAAGTCTGTTTTTTTTTTTTCTTTATAGTGGTTAAAATAAAAATCAATGCAGATGACCAACGTACTCATAACGTAGAACAAGTAATATGCAGCAGCCACAGCTATCCGTAGGGGGGCAAATCGGGGTGACCGCCCTGGGCTATGCACTTTGGGGGCCCTGCAGAGCTGGGTGGAGTGGCCACAGCGACTCTGCACCACTGCTGCCAGCTTCACATCCAGCCACTTGCTACTGCCCCGCCAATGCTGCTGATGGCAGTGGCAGCTTCTTCAAGTCTGGGGCGCATGGGATCAGAGTGGGGGTGGGGTACCACATGGGCTGATTTGCCCTGGGCCCCGCACTCTGCTCAGGTCAGCTCTGGACACAGCCTTTCTGCTAACAGGGTAATATTTGCATTTACACGGACACCTGCAAGCCCTCAAGGAACAGGATTTCCCACCAAGTTCTTTGAATCTTGATGATCTGAAATTCAGATATATTCCCTAAATGAAAAATGTAGGCCATGTAGAAAATGCAAAAATTTTTGTTTTTTCAAAGTGCCTATTATTGTTGTTGTTGCTATTGTTGTTATGTGTTTTTTGTTTCCAAGTTATTGAAGGATAAACTATATATCCTCACAGCACTGTTCTCAGAACCTTACATCAATTGAAGCTCATGGGTAGTGTGGCTGTAGTCTATGCTGTCATAGCCTCAGATCTACCTTCCAAAAGGTGAAGGGATACTGTAAGTACTAAATGGAAGTAACAGCCTGTACTGCGCCGTGCCAGTAGTGCCCAGTTATTTTTAACTGCTATGTAATTGTAGCAATGTGCTATAGCGAGCAAGCACATTGCTATGGTGATGTAGCTGCAGAGTCATGACTTGTGCCCGACAATGCTACATCACCATAGCACACTGATTCGGTGACATAGTGTCTTGTGTAGATGCAACCAGTACCACTTACCTTATGTGGGAAAAGTAGCCTTAACACAACAGCAAATCAAATCCCAAGTGATCAGTAAAGTCAATAAGTTATTTTTGTTAAGATAGAAGCATGTCTTCTAGAACTACTTATCTCTAGGTACCTGTGCTTTCAAAAATTAGGACGAGGAGTATAGCTAGCAAAACTTCCTCACCTAGACTGACATACTCACCTCACATACAACCTTGGATGCTTGTATATAGTTTGGGTGATGATTCGATACAAATCCTAATACAGGGATGGATAAATGACATGCAAAGTAAACTTTTCCTTAGAAATACTTTTCTTTGTGCCTTCCTGATCTCCTGCCTGTTTAGTCTAAATGTCTAAACTTTGAGACAGATACCCTAAAAAGCCCCCAAATTTAAATAATAATAGTATTGCATGATTATTTTTAATTGCCTTTGATGTTTGAGCCTTTATTGTTTATATGTTCCAGTTATTCTCTTTCAACTTGAGTGCTAGAAACTTTTATTAAAAAAATCCTGAGATTCTTATCTAAAAGTGGCAAGAAGCTGGGATTTAAAATTGTGAGAGTTGGTAGCATTGCTGCTGACCTTTTTCAGTATAAAGTTGCCTTTCCCCCCCCTTACATTTCTATCTGAGGATTGCTTTTTTCACTCTAACAGCTGCAGACCTTTGGTTGCCAATTTGAACTCATAGCTGTTGGCTGCATCTTCTTCTTTTCCACCTAGTAAATGTTAATTAATGTTATGTTGCCACCCTTGTTTTTCCTTTTCTCTCCTCTAAAGAGAGGATGCATTCTCAGAACAGTAGGAATAGATTGAATGCTGTGCTGAAGTAATTTGTCTTGTAGGCAGCCCCATAAGCAGTCATAGGGAGACTGGTGTCATTGAGTAGTTCAATGCAAGAAAATGAGAGTTGGGTTTTTTTGCTATCTCTTGCTGTATTGGGACATCTGTTCCTCACCTGTCTTGAGTCTATGCTGAGTACAATGAATATTGTACAGTGAGTTAGTAACTTGTGTTTTTGCAAGTAGCTTGCTGGGAAGCCAGACTGGAGGCCAGCTACAGTGTCCTGCAAGCTATCCCAAAGTTGATAGGAAGGAGATCAGACCTATGCAACAGTACATGGAGTAGGATCTCTGCCAGGAAAATGCTGTACTTCCTGTTTTTGTCTATTCTGCTGAACAATTTTCAGACCTGCTGGACTCAATCTTGTGATCATAGAATCATAGAAGTAGGGTTGGAAGGGACCTTATAGATCTTCAAGTCCGACCCCCTGCCAGGCCAGGAGAAAAAAAACTGGGCTCAAATGATCCCAGCTAGGTAGGCATCAAGCCTCCTCTTAAAGACCCCCAGGATAGGAGCCAGCACCACTTCCCTTGGAAGTTGGTTCCAGATCCTAGCTGCCCTATCTGTGAAGTAGTTCTTACGGATGTCTAATCTAAACCTACTGTCCAACAACTTGTGGCCATTATTCCTTGTTATGCCAGGGGGCGCTAGGGAAAACAAGGTCTCTCCCAAACCCTTCTGGTCCCCCCTAGTGAGTTTATAGACTGTCTCCAGGTCCCCCCTCAGCCTTCTCTTGTGATCTTTGTTAGCTCTGCCTAGGAGATATGATTGCTTGCCTCCTGTATTCATGTCCTCTTGGGAAAAGCAAGCAGTAATCAGTAAGCAGAACATACCTTTTTCTTCTCTCAAACTGACAGAATTTGTATGGGTTCAGGTGGGTATGTGGGTCTGAGGATCATGAAGAGAGTAGCTCGCACTGTTTGAGCAAGCAATTTTCCAATAGGTGGCGCTATAAGAAAGACCAGAAAGAACACTATGGAAGAAATAACAAAGCCAAAGTGTGTTGATGTCTTGGCTCTGTTTAAGTGCCTGAGCACTGAATGTGTCAGGAGTGAGTTGGCTCCTGCAAGTGTATGAAATCAGAAGTGAAGACTAGACTAAAACCTATTCTCTCAAACCACAAAGAAACAAAAATGTCATGACACCATAATAGATTCATGTTCCTGAACAGATAGACATAAAAGAGGTAATGTTTAGAAACTGGATTTTTGTAGATCACAATAAGAAAACTATGAAATTGTAACAGAGCAAGAAACGAAGAAACATGAAATAAGAACTTTTATGTACTGTAACAGCAAACACTTTCGCATCTCCAACATCTGGATGTGTCTAGAGCATACTATGGGCACCTATGTAAAGTTCTATAAATAAACAGAAAAAATTCTCAACCTTGAAAAATGCCATGTACAAAAAGTATACGTTTAACAAGTATAACCAAGAATCTGGAGAAGAAATAGATTAATATGTAGCCAAACTATGAAAGAATGGCTTAATCAAATAGTAATGAATTCTTAAAAGATGAATTAATTCATTTGTAACAGGCAGAAAGATGTAGGGATGTAAAATGCCAGGGGAGCCCATGTTAATCTACCAGGAGTTACAAGCACAGGGAGAGGTAGTGGTTGATTTTTTTTTTTTTAACAATTGGGGTGTCTTCCAGGCATGTTACTCCTGAAAATAAGTTTTAAAAGCAACTGCGTTTCAAAGTATCACTTGCTACAAGGCAATTGATAGAAAAAAGAGAAAAACATGATGCTATATTAAACAAATGGAAGAAGTCATTAAAGACTTAACATTAGAGTTGCTGAAGTCATAGACCACAAGTTGGATATAAGCACCATGGTAGCCACTGAGATGCCAAGCAAACTGTGCATTTACAGCAGCCCCAGCATTACACAAAGATGTAAACACAGCTCACTACTAAATGCTCACAGTTGAAGAAATATTTCTTGAATTGGCAAAAGTAAAATATCCTTAGTGCTTGATACCCAAGGTAATTTTTACTAAATGCTACTGGAAAATTGAAACAGCTTCCTCATCACCATGAGAAAAATACAGATAGTTGAGAATCATATTTTGGTATCATATTGCAGTAGAAGAATATCAGTGCCATTGTCAAGTTGTACTTAACAGGATTTGTAAGGATTAGTGTAATAGCTGATGACATTCTGATGACATTCATGTACAGGAATGGAGACAGTAAGATGGAAAGAAACTATGACAGATCAGAATCACAGACAGATCTGGCTGATAGCAATAGCTGGGAAAATAAATGAAAATGTAATAAAACACTAGATGAAATTGTGATTGACCACAGTACCATGCAAAATGATGCCACAGAAACGGCACCTGAGGCATTTTTCCTACAAAAGAGATGACCAGTAGCTGTCACTATTGACAACAGAGCAGAGCTTCACCAAAAATGAAAAGAATATTTTACAGTATGGTGAAGAATATTTTATAATGGTGTTTGCCTGTGAAAAGTTCATTTAGTATGTTCAGCCTATATATTCAAAGATGG